CATCTAATTACCCTGGCACCATTTGTTGAACAAATGATTCTTCCTCTCACTGGATCATAGTGCTTTTGTTAAAAACTGGTCAAGGAGGCTGGGTGTGGTGGTACACTCAGCTTTAACCCAGCACTCAGGGAGGCAGAGGCAGGCAGATTGCTGTGGGTTCAGGGCCAAGCCTGGTCTACAAATCCAGGACAGCCAAGGCTACACAGAGAAACCCTGTCTCAAAGTAAATCGATCGATCAATCGATCGATAGATAGACAGATAAATAGATAGAATAGAAACTGGTCAAGGGCTCAGCCATTAAGAGCACTAGCTGCTATAACAGAGGACCTGGTTCAATCCCCAGCATCCACACAGTAGCTCACAACCATTTGTAACTGTAGTCCAGGGGATCTGATGACCTCTTCTGTCTTCTGTGGGTGTGCTATGTGCACATGTGGAATGTAGATTTGAATGCCAGTAAACAACTCATACAATAAATCAATACATAAATTTTTACAAATTAGTTAAGTATAAAGTTGTCAGTTTACTTCTAGACTGTCAGTTTTATTCCAGTGACCTGTACATTTGGCTTCATGTCAACATCATACTTTCTTTTTTCTTTTGCCATATTGGGGCTAGAAGCAGGGTTTTGTGTATATCGGACTGAGGTGTAGTCCCAGCACTACCACACTGACCTAACTACATTTGTCTTATAGTAATATTTGAAACCTTCAAGGTCTCCTATGTTGAAATCTGCAAGTACAAGATCTTCTATGCTGATTTTAAAAATTGCTTTGGTGCTAGGTGGTGGTGGTGCATGCCTTTAATCCCAGCAGACACAGAGGCAGGCAGGTCTTTGAGTTCAAAGCCAGCCTGGTCAGTATAGTGAGTTCTAGGACAGCCAGGGCTACACAGAGAAAGCCAATAATAGTAATAATAATAATAATAATAATAATAATAATAATAATAATAATAATATTTTGGCTGTTCTGGAGCCATGCAATTTCATGAGAACTGCAAGTCTATCAATTTCTGTGAACCCACCTGATGGGGATTGGATTAGATTGGACTGAGTTGGTAGACAAGTTTGGAGCATGGCCATCTTAACAGTACAGTATGGGGCTGGAGAGGTGGCTCAGTGGTTAAGAGCACCGGCTGCCTTTCCTGAGGACCAGGTTCAATTCCCGGCACCCACATGGCAGCTCACAACTATGTAACTCCAGATCCAGGAGATCTGATGACCTCTTCTAGACTCCTAGGGTCACATGATGCACAGACATACATGTAAGCAAAGCACCCGAACATATAAAAATAAACAAATACAAATGTTAAACAATGCCATATGACCATGATACAATGTGTACATGTATGAAATTGTTAATGGTTAGATAAAGCTATTTTAAAACTGCAGCATGAGTAGAGGATATTTTCTAATTATTTATGTACTTTTTATTGACCTAACTAACCAGGGCACGGATGGATCTCAGGTGTTTAACGAAAGGAAAAGTATCAGTTCAGGACCCAGAAGACCAAGTTCTCAGCACAAAGGAGATTTATTTGCCCCAGAGGAACCAGAGGACAAAAAATAAGAGACCAAGACAGGAGATAGAGGACCAGGGAGAAGGGGAAGGGAACAAGGGAGAGGGGTTAGGGGTATTTGTCCAAGAGGACAAAGGACTGTCTCTAGATCAAGAGGAGACAGATGTGGCACACAGGCAAATGGCAGTTTATAAATGTAAAAAAGGGGAGGGGCATAGGAGAAAAAGAGGAAGGGAGAGTGGGATTGCAAGGGGTAGAGAAGGGGGCTACAGCTGGGGATACAAAGTGAATAAACTGTAATTAATAAAATTAAAATAAAAATTAAAAAAATAAATGTAAAAGAGGAAACCCCATGTTAGGAGGTGTTTAATTTTAATTGGGCATGTTAATTAAGTGAGCCAAAGGGAGCTTTTGATTGCTGGACTTCAATACTTTGATAGCTGGACCTTGGTAGTCAGCCTCAGGAGGAGAAAGTGGCCAAATAAGGGAATAGACCTTGGATGCTAGCTTTAGGAATGTGATCTAATGGTTTTCAGGAGGGCAGAGGGAATGGGTCAGGGCAAGGCTGCCAGAGCCATGCTTGCAGGCTGCTAGCCTGAGTCCCTTCTTTCAGGCCATCCTGCTGGCCCTCTGTTTTGTGGCTTTGTTCAAGGCTAGCCTTGGACTAGCTATAGCCTAAGATAACCTTGAACTCTCAGAACTCTCGATGTGCCTGTCTCTACTACTTCTCAAGTGCTGAGATTACAGGCAAGTGTCGCCTTGCTCAGTTCTATAGGCCTGCAATTATTTTATTGAATTTATCCCTCAGTATTTTATCCTTTTTTACTGCTATGAAGTGAGATTACTTTCTTAATTGTGGAGTGCCTATTTTGGAAAGTCAGGGAATACAATTAATTTTTGCATGTTGATATCATACCTATTCTACAAACTTGTTGAATTAACTTGTTAATCCTAATACTGGCTTCCTTAGTACTTTTTCCATTTTTTAATGTGTGGGTATTTTGCCTCATGTATGTACTGGCACCATGGCTGTGTGGTGGCACCTCAGAAGAGAGTGTCCTCTAGAAGTGGAATTATGGATAGCTGTGGGGTTTGTTTGAGTTTTTGGTTTTGGTTTTTTGCTTGTTTGCTTTGGTTTTGTTTTTTATTTGTTTTTTGTTTTTGTTTTTGTTTTGAGGCAGTATTTCTCTGTGTAGCTTTGGCTGTCTTGGACTTGATTTGTAAACCAGGCTGGCCTTGAACTCACAGAGATCTCCCTTTAATCCCTGTCTGCTTCTCTCTGCCTCCCAAGTTCTGGGGCTGAAGGCATGTACCACCATATCCAGATTGTACCTTTTTTTTGATAGATAGGATTTTTAAAATTTGTTAACTATGTATTATATTAAATGACTTTTAGACACAGAATTGAATGAGATTAAACTTGGCCATGACACACATTTCTCTTGTTTTGCTTGATTTGGTTAGTTAGAATTTTGTTGACAATTTTTTGGTTTTTTTTTTGTTTGTTTGTTTGTTTTGTTTTTTTTTTTTTTTTTTGAGCAGGGTCTAGCTGTGTATGCATTCATCACAATGACCCGAAGCTAGCTAGTTTTGAGCCAGACTTGTGTAGGCCAGGCCGGCCTCAAACTTGTTATATAACTGAGGCTGACCTTGTACTCATGGTCCTTTAGCCTCTACCTCCTGAGTTTGAGGTTTGTGGTAGTGAACCATCACCAGCTGTTCCGATGTCTTAGGGTGGAAGATTGAGCCACTGCACTGAGATGTTTGTTTAGTGATGTGGTCACTGGCACTGCGTCTGCATCCAGTAAGTGCTGATACATTGCTCTTATCTGGCATTGATGTAGCTCCTCTAGATTTCTTTAGGTTACTGCCTTCAGAAAACCTTTTTCTGTTCTTTTTTTTTTTTATGTATTTATAACGTTGAGTTTGAAGTATGTCTGATCCCTGGAAATGTAGCATTCTCAAGAAAATTCAAATTTCAGGCTACCTGGACTACATAACATATAAACAAATGTGTCTCAAATAAATAAGTAAATAGACGTGGTGCTCGTGGGCTGATGAGATGCCCCAGTTGGTAATGTGTTTGCCACACAAGCAAGAGGATCTAAGTTCTACCCCCATCATCTACATAAAAAGCCAGGCATGGTTGTTAGTGCCTGTAACTCCAGTGTTGGAGAGGCAGAATCATGAGGGTACTGGACCTGCTGGCCACTCAGACTAAACCTCTCAGTGAGCCCCAGATCCCACTGAAAGACTGTGGCTCAAAAAATCAGGTGGGTGGTGACTGAGAACACCACCCAACTTGACCTCTGGGTTACACACACACACACACACACACACAAAACTACCTTTACATGGCATGTAGCTGGATTTTTGTTGTTGTTTTGTTTTTGTTTTTCCGAGACAGGATTTCTCTGTGTAGGCTTGACTGTCCTAAAACTCTCTCTGTAGACCAGGGTGGCCTCAGATTCACAGAGATTCACCTGCCTCTCCTCCTGAGTTCTGGGATTACAGGTGTGCACTACCGTGCCCAGCATACATAGAATTTATTTGGTTATCCATTCTGTCACTCTCCACCTTTCATCTGAAAGTTCCATGCATTTACTCTTAATGTAATTGTAGATAAGTACTGTTTTGTGCCATTTTGTTATTTCTTGAAAAATTAGTTATACTTTGGGGCATTTATATATATTATGACTTTGCTACTCCCACTCATTTTTCAGTTGAAGAATCAAAACCTAGAAAGTCATAGAAACAGCACCAGTCATTGTGAACAGAACTATGATCTTAGCATTGCCAACATGAATTCTGCCCCAGAGGTTACCTTTCTAGTCCCCTGACTTCCTCTCTCACCAATCAGAGCCAGTCCCTACATGCAGCCAGGGGAATCTTTGAAAAAGGTGAATTCACAGAATTTGGGCAGCAAAGGCAGGAGAATTCTAGGTCAGTATAGGCTGCATAGTAAGTCCTGGGTCAGCCGGGGCTATACAGTGAGACTCTGCCTCAAAAGTCAATTGGTAATTTTAAATTAAAATAAATAAATAGGCAAATCTAGTCCCAACATTCCTGCTTCTGATCCTCCAAGGGCTCCCACATGGGAGCTGTATGTGCTGCCTTTCTCAAAAGCCATCATGGCTGACATACATCACACACACACACACACACACACACACACACACACACACATATACATGCACATACACACATATACACACATACTTACACACATATACACATACACACAAGCACACGCATGCACATGAGGTGCTCAAGATGGGGAACTCTACTGTGCCTTTCCTACCCGGGCTACCTGGGCTTCTCAACATTGCTATCTCAGTGTCCTTTGCTGCTCTCTGGGTACATCTGTCTTAGGCCTTTTAAGAACCAAGAAGATCCCTTAGATGGCTGTCACCAAGAGTGTCTGATGTGATTTATTCTTCCTACACCAAATTTCAGTTTCCTCCCTTTTCTCCTTGTTCAGGTTATGAAGACCCTGCAGGATTTGTTCACTGACTTTCATATAATCAAGAAGAATGTTGAAACGCTCCAGAGGGATGTGGACATGATAAAGTACATATTTGAAAAGGTAGTCATCCCTGTACCTTTATTTCCTGCTTGGCCATGCTGATTAGACCGACAGAGGCTAGGGCAGTAAGGAAAATTCTAGAAGGCTTGTTCTTAAAAAATGTTACCATAAAGGAAGGAGGAAGGTTTAATCCCCCCTAGCAATTTATTTTTCCTACCCCCTGAACTTTCTGTAATCCCTCTACACCTCCTCCCTTGCTGTGTTAAGCATCAGGCATCAGAAACAGAAGCCTAGTTCATCTTGGTTTAGAAAAATAGAATTTAATGGTTTACTTTCTAAATTGTTTTAAAGTGTGTGTGTGAGCACGTGTGCTTAATGTTATGTGTATGGATGTTCTGCCTGCCCTCATGTCTGTGCAATATGTGTGTGTATGTAGTGCCTGGAGAGGTCAGAAGGAGGTCCCAGATCTGCTAGAACTGAGTTAGAGATGGTTGGGAGCCACTGTGTAGATGTTAGGATTGTCTGAGTGTTAACAACTCCAGAATTCAGTTTCACCAGCTGTCCGCTCATTGAAAGTGCCATCCACACTAAAAAGTGAGATAAACCTAGCACACGCTAGGAACACACGCTCTTTCTGTAACTTCATGTCATTGGCCTGAGTAAATCTCAGCCTTCCATGGGGTGACACAGAATCGCTAAGGCAAAAGGCAGCAGCCCCCAGACAACAGCTGATGATGGCCTGCGAGAGCCAAGTAACCTCCAAGCCACAGAGTGTTGCAGTTGAGCCATTCGCCCCAAAGAGTGTGATCTAATGTAGCATTTGAGCCTCAGGATAATCTGGGGCTGGTCAGGAAACAGGACCATAAAACACTAGAAAGGACACCTTGGAGCAAATATGTCTGCAAAACAATTTCTCCTTAGCCCATCTCTTGCAGACTCACTGTTCTGTTCCATTTGTGTCTGCTCTGAAGCAGGGTGTCTTGTAGCCCAGCCTGGCCTCCAGTAGTAGGGAGTGACTTAGGTCTGTCTGGTCCTCCTGCTCCACATCACAGATGATTAAAGTGTGTGTAATCACTCCTGGGTTGGTGTAGTACTGGAGAGCAAACCTCGGGTCTCAACTATGCTTGGCAAGCACAGGACAAACTCAGCTACACTGCCAGCTCTCCTCTTGAAGATTCTTTTTCCAATATAACATTTTTATTGATTATCTGCAAGTTTTGTGTCATGCATCCCACACACACTCACTTCCCATTCCTTTCATGTCCAGTCTGCCACCCTTGTGACCTTGTCCCTCTTCAAGATTTTTTTTTTTTTTTCAAGACAAAGATTTCTTGTGTAGCCTTGGCTGTCCTGAACTCTATTTGTAGACCAGGCTAGCCTCAAACCCACAGAGATCTGCCTGCCTCTGCCTCCCAGAGTGCTGGGATTACAGGCGTGTGCCACCATGCTCTTCATGATTCTTAATGTTCTCCTCATTCAGCGTTCTGAAAAATTCCAAGATTGTTGAATGCTTTGTAGCCCAGCACTTCCACTTTTTTTTTTTTTTTTTTAATCTGTGGAACACTTTTTCTTTCCTGGGAAATTCTGTTTTTCTATTTCAAACTCAGTTAACTAATATGGTGAGAAGCAGCCAGACTGGGACCAGAACCTGTACCCCAGCCTCAGGTTAAGCTTCCTGGACAGGTAAACCCAGAAAGGATGGATCTTGTCTGTGAAGACTTGAAAGCACAGAGCCGGAAGCTGGCTGCCCTGCAGCGGGAAGTGGTAAGATCTTTGGATTCAGCTCTCTTGCCCTGTGTGCTAGGGGCTAAAATGCATTTGGAGAGCAGCATAGTCTGGAAAGGGTTTCAGTGAGCAGGAAAGTCCCCAAGAGCAGATGTGGTGCCCATGCACATGCTATTAACACCCCCATCCCTCCTCCCCACCCTTCCCTAGCCTGGCTTCACTCACATTCTCCATCCCACTGCATAGGTCCCCCTCCAGGAAAAAGTTCGTGCCCTTCCCCATCCTGAGGAAATAGTACTCTGGGGTACCCTCCATGAGGCCATGTTCACTCAGGTGAGTGTTGGAAGAGGAATGGGATATAAAGGGGTATGAGACCAGACCAAACAGCTCAGCTCCTTCCCCTGCAGGAAGCACCTAAGCTGGAACTGGACATGTGGAGGAGCACAACCTCTTTTCCAGAGTCTTCCTTGAGGCAGTTTGAGGATGGATCTTTGAAGACCATGGCAGATTCAGGAGTACTTGGGGAGGATGAGTACATTCAGGCCAGTGGCTCGCAGGCTCAGTATGGCCCTCTGTTTGCATTTGGGTCCAGGTCTAGACAAGAGCCAGCAAAACGTATTGGAAAGCCTGGTTCCAGGCCAGTCCAGTGGGCTAAGCCTAAACCGGCTGCCCCAGGTGCATTGCCCTTATTACCAAGAGGCACTCCTGAGGAGAGTGGTGGGCCTGTGTGGGATATGGGTGCCTTCCAGCCTAGCCTAGGTCCTGAGGGCCAAATTGACAGGGCTGCTTTCCCAGCCATGGAAGTTGGACCGTCAAGGCCTCAGCCATTACCACAACAGGAGGTTCCTCAAACAGATACCCACCGGCTTTCAGACCATGAAGAGAGAGGAAATGAATATGATGATGACTACATGAGAGACTCTCAGGAAGAGGTCCCGAAGGATGGGACTTCCCAGGATGGGAGTCCCAAGAAAGGGGCTCCTTGGGATGGGAGTCCCAAGGAAGGGGCTCCTCGGGATGGGATTGCCACGGAAGGGGTTCCCCGGGATGAGATTGCCGAGGAAAAGGTTCCGCGGGATAGGATTGCCAAGGAAGGGGCTCCCCGGGATGGGAGTCGCAAGGAAGGGGCTCCCCGGGATGGCATTTCCAAGGAAGGGGCTCCCCGGGATGGGAGTCCCAAGGAAGGGGCTCCCCGGGATGGCATTTCCAAGGAAGGGGCTCCCTGGGATGGCATTTCCAAGGAAGGGGCTCCCCAGGATGGCATTTCCAAGGAGAGGGCTTCCCGAGATGGGATTGCCAAGGAAAGGGCTCCCCGGGGTGGGATTGCCAAGGAAGGAGCTCCCCGGGATGGGATTGCCAAGGAAGGGGCTCCTCGGGATGGGATTCCCAAGAAAGGGGCTCCCTGGGATAGGACTCCCAAGTTCAGGGCTCCCCGGGATAGGAGTCCCAAGGAAAGGGCTCCCCAGGATAGGAGTCCCAAGGAAGGGTCTCCCCGGGATAG